GTAGAATTCTGAATATGCATGCATAAACTATAAAATATGTAAAATCCCATTCCTAAGCAAAATGTACTAATTTTTAGTACATACTTACGTGTTACTGATAAGTAGTATGCTGCTCATCATCGAAATTAATATATATCAGATGGGTTCCTCATGGCCTCAACCAACAAACAGCAAGTACTATACTGTGTATTGATTGAATGATATCAGTAGTTTGATACCGCTCACTTCAACCAGTGGGGATTACTAATTAGATCAAAGTGATCAAAACGCTGAACGGCCGTTTCGTTCGTTTGGGTCTGAGCTCATCAGAAAACCCGAATGGTATTGGAATCACATCCAGTGGACTTTTTAAAAAAAATTACTTCAGTATACATGAAAACTCATTCGAAGTTCAGGAGTTTTACTAACTAATACAAACACGTATATAAATATGCAAATTCTATATAGCTAAGCTGGGTGCTTATTTATCTTAGACACAATGAGCCATAGTCAAACTAATCTGACATGTATTCACTTGAATGACACTTAACTGTCTTAATGAATGAAAATTATGCTATTATGATTGTGTTGTTTATGTACACTGACAAAACAACTGACGTTTTTGTGCAATTGTAGTTTACCAACTGTTTGTATTTGCATTATTTTACTCTGCTACACAGATTTTGTCTCAGTAACTCGAATTCTGAATCTCGCATACTTCATTCACATTCTATCAAACTTATACACATACACATGCAAATAGATCTACACTAAGCAACAAGCATAGAGAATGAATTTCCGGTGCTTTGTTTATATTCATAGTGTTGTACAAACATTTTATAAATACAGTAGACTGAACCAATCACAACATTGATCATTGAACAGAATGACCTTTATTAATATATGAAAACAAAGAACAAGGCGTTCTGATCTATCAGAATAACTTGAAAAATTTATATGCCTAGTCTTTAGGTGAAAAAACCAAAAAGAAATATAGAAAGAAGAGATAATAAAAAATGTCATAAAGTTTGAAGTTACTAACTAGTTTGTAAAAATCACATTCGTTTTGTTTAATTTAAAATATAAGGGCGGCTTTCCTCCTTCGTGTCTTTCGCGCTTATTCATCTGCATATACACATGTGTATGTATACAAGTATGTTGGATATTGTGTGTATGTGCAGAGAGTGTGAGAGGGAGATGGGGAGTTGATCCTGCTGAACAAAGGGGGTAAACACACACACACATACATCAACTGAGAGTAGAGAGATGAATTTCTGAAGACTTAGACGAGAGAATAATATAAACTGTATAAGAAGGAAATAAAAAGGGTTGAACAAATGTTTGCCATTCTGTTTAAATTTCAGGTCATATTTGAAAAACAAAAAGTTTATGGCTTTATTCACTTATTTTTTTTTCTGCTTTGACATACGCATACAAATTTATGAGTGTTATTTCTTATCTCATTGCAAAAAATATGGGAGTTTTATTTTGCAGGTGTATTTTGAAATCAAAACTCTCTAGGTTGGTTGAAAGAACAAGATTGGGAAACGCTTTTATTGCACTTCCACATTATTGTTGAGTGCACATAAGGGTTCAGAGTTATACAGGCTTTCGCGTTGGACACGAAATACTGGTAAATGTTTATATGTATATAATGCTGGCATAGTTTTGAATAGATCACGTGAATAACAAGAAGTACGGAGACTTGAAGTAATCAGTTTCTAAATGACAGTTATTCATATGGTAGATTATATACCCATAACTGATGTGTAAAAAGCAACAAGCTGGCAGAAGAAGCATCAAAGATAGGACTTCAATTCAGGTGAACATAGAGAAAACAGAGGTGATGAAGATTTCTGGCCAACACCAACAGCAACAACAACAACAGACAGCAATCAGCCAGAATAAATGGGACGAACCTGAAAGAAACAACCTCCTTCATTAACCTACCTACCTGGGAAGCATCGTTTCAACTACAGGCGAACGGAACTGACGAGGACATCAAAGCCAGAATCAGAAAAGCAAGACAAGCTTTCATTACTCTCAAGTGTGCATGGAGGTCAACAGCACTCAGAATCAAAAATAACATCCGGATTTTCAACTCCAATGTGAAGTCAGTCAGTGCTACTCACCATACGGATCAGAGACTTGACCAGCGCGTCATAAAGAGCATCTCAAACAAACTACAGACCTTCATTAACAGTTGTCTTCGCTCAATATTCAAGATCAGATGGCTGGCCAGAAAAGATCAGCAACAGGGATCTCTGGGAGCAGACTGACCAGGAATCGAATGTGGAACAAATAGGAAGGAAGAAATGGAGATGGATTGGCTTTCCATACGCTGGGGAAACCATCAAGTGACATCACTAGACAAGCTATCGCTCGAGTGAAACCCGAAAGGACAGCGGCGAGTTGGTCATCATTGGAGGATGAATTGGAGGAGGTGATGTAAAGAGGAGATGAAAGCATGTGGGGAGACTTCGGGCGGGATGAAAAGGCTGGCAGAAAACAGAAGGCAATGCAGGTGCGCAGCTGAAGCCCTATGTTCCTCTAGGAATTAAAGGATAAAATAATAATAACTGATGTTTATTTTACTTTAGAACATTTCATGTCTTCACACTCATCTTTCAGTTATCCCAGAGATATAACAATTTTACGGGAAAGGTGATAGTATGCTTTAACGGTATGCTTCTGGGCAAGTGAGGTGAGAAAGGCGTTTGAGTTGCAATGGCATAAAGTTTTTCCAATATTTTAAATTGGTCCTTAAGTAAACTGAATATGTTTAAAAATAACTGTCTTCTATTTTAAGCTTCAAAGAAAGGGATCTGTCCTAATCTTTAATGTCTGGATCTTCACTAAACATAGATGTTATTATCAAGCTGTACAATCGTGTATATATATATATATATATATATATATATATATGGTTTCTAAGAAATTATGTCCGGTGAGAGAATTAGATCAAAAGTGTGAACACATGAAATAACAACAGTGTTAGTAGTATGAAATGCAATTAAAATATTTGTGATTATAATCATAGTTAAATGTCAAGTGGAAAAACAATTATTGTCATATGTAGAATAATACATAAGGTGTATCGATATTGGAAAGGGGTACATAATTATATGATTAGTAGGCAAATATAAAAATGTTACATAATATGGTGTAAAATTTGATACGATAGAATTCAATATTGTATAAACAAAAAATTATTATTTTGGATTTAGAATGACAAGTGGGAGAAGCGGGAACAAATCAGGCTGAGAAGAATAATAATAATCGTTGTAATAAGGGGGAGGTACTATCAAGTAACTGATCGATATCGGTTTCGAAGTTTTACGAAGGGTTTATCTAGAAACATATACTTTTAAGTAAGCTGTCTGTTTAAGAACATATCGCTTCTTGGGCCTTAGTCAGATTAAACAAGATAAAACTTTCAAACTTTCTGGTACAGTAGAAGAATCGCCTCGAAAATAAATCTTAACTTTTCTGAGAATCGAACAATTGTATTACGAGATAATATTCAGTTTAAATCACCTTTTCGAATTTAACTACTGAAAAGTATTTAAGTAACCATACTTATCTTAACAAACTTTTGAAGCTTCAAATTCTTGATTATAGCTTGATTCCACACAATACTTTCGGTAGAGGTATGGAATTCTCACTATGTGATATCGGTAGTCCAAATTTTGTTGGCTGACCATTGATATCAGGTGTGCTTTGGCAGGAGATCGAACCGCGCACCATGTGCATGATCGGTGAGCCTCCTAACCGCTGACGCACAAGATACAACGGTTACTGTCATAAGTGAAGTTCAACCTAATTTTACTTCCACATCTCTGTGGTGACTGGTCTGTCTGTCTGTCTGGATTCAACATAGAACTTGGCGGTGACTGGTGGTCAATGTCACACGTTATTACATTTATATTTAAACCTGTAAGTATTTTTTTATGGTCATTATTTATTATAGTCAAGAAACTATCGAATAACGTCTAATTTTTAGCATTTTTACATAATGTTTCTTTCAGTGATAAGCAATAATTTGAAATAATTTTGATGTGGTTTTGTTCTCTGAGCTGGATGGTTAATTTGCGAAGCTTTCATCACCCTACTGGGTGACATCATCAGCGCATACTTCAATTTGAAGTGAGCTTTTAGATTTTTTTTTGAAGTATGCGCTGAAGATGTCACCCAATAGGATGATGAAAGCTTCGCAAATTAACCATCCAGCTCAGAGAACAAAACCACATCAAAATCATCCCCCTGAGCTACAAATCTTCTCTATCATATCTAAATTTGAAATAAATCCGTGGTACAAGTGAATAACCGAGAGAAATTTCGCTTTAGCAAATAGAGAGATGGCAGCACATCCTTAGATACAAGAAATATGTTTACATAGACTAAGCATTATGTTTTATGGGTCGCTAGCACACTCGCCAACCGCGAATGTGGCCAAGGGTTGGATGCCCGGGCGACACACTCCTAAACCTTGCTAGGCCGGTAATAGTGTTGGTGAAGAGGAAAGATTGGACCTGAAGCTAGTAACCCCAGCCTGTTAAAAATAAAATCACTGCTATCAAAACTTCAAAGCTTTAGCTGAAGTATAAGTCAAAAAGGGGTGGAGGTTTGCATTTAACCATGACTCCGTTATTATGAACTAAGAAGTCATCATCAATAAGGATAAATTTCTCCCTTAAAATCAACCAGAAAACCAAATACGGATGTTACATTTCAATTACACTTCATCTACAAAATTACCTTTTATCAATCAGGCAGTGAAGACAGTAATCTTTATAACAACTATTGGCATTACATAGGATGAAAACTGTTTGAATAAACCACTGCCAGTGTACACTGGATAAATTATGACTAGATCATCAGTGGACAACTGACTACTCGTATCATTTAACAGAAAAAAAATCGATGCAATAGCGATAATGAAATAAATTTTAACAAAACTGTGAAGTAAAAAATATTTTATTATATAACAATATTTAAAAATTAATAACCAACCGACTTACCTGATTTCCACACTTTTGAATTAGAACTGTACTTGAAGATTTGTTCAATCTCATGCTCAGAAAATTGAGAACAGCGAGTTCGGACAATAGCACACTAGTAAAATAGAAGAGATAGTAAGTGAGTAGGTCGTTATAATATAATATTAAAGTTAATATATATATATATATATATATATATATATATATATATATATATATATATCGAATCAAGAATCACCAACAAACCAAACAGTTCTAACTTTTGAAGCGACCAGTAAGTTGGTAGTCAATACGAACAGAATCAATGATAACCAAAATTCCTGATGTTCATGTGTGTGGTAATGAACACTTTCCCATCCAACTGTTCGGTTAGAATGGGAAGTTTCAAGTCAACAAAAAAAAAGCTTACGACTATTATCTCGCTTTTCTCGGGTCGTCGTAAGCTGATGATAAGACTATTAAGTGATGAAAGACATTTTTTATATTCTAGTATATCTATTTTCACATAAATGAATCAATATATAAAGCAGAGTTCAGTCATTGAATATTGATGTTTTGAGTGATGACTGAACAGTAACCTATGCATCTTCCATTACATCCAAACCAATTATGCAGACCTAAGGCTACCTCAAATAACTGTGTCAAGTATGAAATATCACTTCAGTTTACATTTGTTCACTTGCAGATCATTTTTATCCATAAACTTTAATCCATGATGTTATGTACCGATGACTGATGTTAGTGGTTGGTCAGCCACCTAGACTGAGGCGATTTAAACAGTGGACAATAGTTTAACTCATTTGAATTCGTATTTGCCTCTGGTGGACAAGATTAGAATCGGTTAGGAGGATCAAATCATTAAACCCACCCCGAATTATGGATAGTTATTTGATCTCAGCCCAGAACAAGGGGGACAAACACCTAGTGTTGAAGTTACCTTGATCTAGCTAGCAGGTATAACTGGCTGATATAAGGGGTTGTTAACTACGCATACTAATCAAGTGCATATGACTTCATGTTATCTCACTTTCTCACCCTTTTCTGAAAGTTATGGTGTCAACCAAATAACTTATAGTGACTTAAATGTTTTGAATTTCTATAGGAAACCTTAGTGAATTTCCACCTCAAACTGTGTAATCTTCAAATGACTAATTTTAAACTTTAATTCAAATATTTACTGGTTTCTTTTTCAGTAGAAAAAGTCCTATATGTCATATTATTTAGTGTCATATGAGTGGCTAGTAGAAAATAGTATGCAATAAAGAGGAGATGATATGACTGCACTGACTAGTTCATCATGAAACAACCAATATGTGAAATGATACGGGTGGAGACATATCTTGAGAAAAGAGATATCATCGCCAACGATGAGTTCGAAGAGTATGAACGGGAAATTTGAGAGTATTGAAAGAATACCAGAATAAAGGGTATAAGTTATAATGTTTATCTACTTATTTTTATTTTTGATTACAGCTTAATTCCACACTGTATTTTTTGGTACAAGTATGGAATTTTCAGCATGTGATATCGGTAGTCCAAATTTTGCAGGCTGACCATAGATATCAGGTGTGCGTCGGCAGGGGATCGAAACCCGAACCATGTGCATGATCGGTGAGAATCATAACCGCTATCCCACCGATACAGAGAAAATGAAAAAAAGGATGAAAGGAAAGGGACTCTTGAAGAAGAGAAAAAATTGTAATCCAAGCTCCAGTTTAGTCGATTTTATTGCAACAGATCCAGCTATATGTAGGGGACGTCTAACGAGAGCGATAAAAAAGACTTTCTACTCTACACACCTGTTCCTATCTTTCAGCAGCTGTCAGTTGTTCACCCAGAAACTGAAAGACGTCTTAATTAATCTTATCTATTTATTTATTTAAACGCAGAAAAAACTTGGTAAAATATGGCACCAAGAAAGATGTGCCACACAATAATAATAAAACAACATAGATCAAAAGTAAAAAAATATAAGTAGAGAACGGATAAAGAACTTCATCTGGAAGGAAACCAATCATGCTTAACAAGTTCAAACAGTATTCGTTAACTATCATCGGGAAGGTAAGAAAGAAGGAAATTGCAACACCTTTCCCATTGATTACGATTCTTGGCCATATCCGGTAACGTTTCGAGCCATCGATTCGAACTATTTCGCGGACAGCTAATGGCAGAAGACACTGAAGCTGGTGGCCAACTAAACTGTTTCCCGAAGTGCTCTTCCTAGCGTTCCAGGCGTCTTTCTAAGCTGGTAATTGGCGTGCCATCTGCCTCACAGACCGTCTCGCTGACACCTTGTTTCTTGCTGCCGGTGGCTCGGATGAGTTGGAACAGCTTCCGACTGTTGCAAGATGCAGTAGCTAACTCCATCTCACACGCACGTTCTGACCACCAGGCTTCGCGGTCCTTACGTAAACACTGTCTTATCTTACGCGTGAGCGCCTTTCGCTTATTGCTGTATTCGCTGCCAGCCGGAATGGACCGGCGTTCATCCAGGAGTTGCAGGGAACTCTCAGAAACCCAGTGGTTTTTAGCGGAGCATTCTTTCAAGCCGCAAACGGCTACACTCGCCTTTTGCATGGAACCTTGCAGATGAAGCCAATGTTCATCTATACTGCTTGGGGGGTTGCTGGCAGGCATTGAGTGCAACTCATTCTGATATTTTAAAGAAGTAGCAGGTGCTACTAGTTTGCTCACATCAACGTTTAGACGACGATGAACCCCACAAAATCGCAGGAGGAACTTGGCACACACTAACGCATGATCGGAGTCCAGGCATGTGCTCCAAAAGGAGCGATAGTCTTGTATGCATCCTCGCCACCGGAAACTGACAGCAGTATGACCAATCTGAGTCCAAGTTCGATTCACAGAGGGAGAACACCCGGCAGCGCTACGGAGATGGCTATGCCGGAAGTTGGTACTGGCTAGAAATAGGTTTTGGTTCGCGCAAAGCTGCAGAAGACGGTTCCCATTATCTGACCTGCGACCATGTAGACCCCACTGACCACCTAGACAATACTCCTCTGAGCTTAGACGCCCGACCTGTGCATTCAAGTCCCCAGCTAGCACTATGATATTCTTTCGACCCGCCTGTTTCAAGAGATCGCTCAGTTGATAGTAGAACTCATCCTTCATTGCATCCGGGCTGCAATCCGTCGGCGCATAGGCAGAGACAACAAATGGACACCGCCTATCTGGGCTATTACTCCTTACTTTCGTGTTACTTTCCAGCCTCACAGCACATAAACGACTGTTAATGGAAATCCAGCCGAGCAATGCAGCTTCGGCTCTAGCGCTCAGTGCGACACCGATACCAGCTACACCGGATGCCGACGCCACAGGGTCCCTGGACAAGCGCAGGTGGTACATACTACTAGAACTTCCACATGAAGAGGATAATCGAAGCACTTCACTGGGATCTTGAATGCGAGTCTCGGAAATGCAGCAGACAACCACAGCGAGGCTTTCCAATGTTCTTACCAACCCTGCTTGTTGTCCAATTTGCATCAGCGTCCGAACATTGTAGGTGGTCAGCTTGAACGCGGCAGGCGGTTTTAGGATATCTGTGTTAGATGTCACATTGGGGACAACCATTTTGAAAGTTACCCACTAACATCTCGAGACGACACAGATAGACTGGGAATCCAGACAAAGGCGAAAGGCTGTCGAAGGCTAAGAAGTCAAGTTTAGCAAAGGTAAAATACAGGAATCTATGTAGAAAAATAAAAGTAAGGTTGGAAGGACATAATTTGCTTGAGGCATAATTATTACTTGAAATCATTTTTTACGAGAGCTCGGTGATTTTCAGCGATAGTTCGTTGTTTTATTTCATTCATTGTGTGAGGGCTGAGATACTATCCGGCGCCCAGATCGAAGCAGGTGGTTTTATTAAGGGACCACCCCACCCCAAGGCTTTGACTTGGAGTCTAATCCCCAAGGCAGTGGAGTAGCGTCGGGAGCTGCATTCCCATGGTTGCCGGCGTCCCATATGGGTTCATACACCATTTGATCCGATTGGATACTGGAGCCCATGTACCCCATGGTAACTGCTTTTAGTTTAACCGCTGTCCAAACAACCTTCCTGACATGGTAGGACCTGCAGGGATATGAGTCCCACCCAGTTTAGCTTGTTGGGTCACTGCGGTGTTCAAGCCCGACCACCACGGCAAGGTAGCAGTTGTCGGCCGGGTAACTAATCTTAGCTCTTCCTCATGTATATACCGTTTCAACTGTTCCTGCGGTTCAAGCTATATAGGGCTTAAAATTAAGCAGTTTTGTCTACAGATTCATGAACATTTGCCAGCTTGCTTCGGTGGCAGGGAAATCAAATGCATAAAAAAAGTTCGATTCTATCACACTTGATCGATACTTTACTTACTTTTTACTTTTTTATTACAGCTTGATTCCACACTGTATTTTTGGTACAAGTATGGAATTTTCAGCATGGATATCGGTAGCCCAAATTTTGCAGGCCGACCATAGATACCAGGTGTGCGTCGGCAGGGGATACAGGACATCATATCGACTCTAAATTAGCCTTTAGGGTTATATACCACATTCCGAAGTCATTGTCAAAGTTCGCTTACGTCCTGCACATATAGCTGAAGATGTCGCAATAGGATCGACTTAACTGGAACTTGTATTCAAAAAGAACAGGTTTATGCACTGTTCCTACAGTAACCGATCTTGAATTACAATTTTTTTCTTCTCCAAGAGTCCCTTTCCTTTGATCCTTTTTAATTTTCTTTGCATATTATAATTTATACCCTTTATTCTGTATTCTTTCAACACTCTCAAATTTCCCGTTCATACTCTTCGGACTTATCGCTGGTGATGACATCTCCTTTCTGAAGAGATGCCTCCACCTGTTCCATTTCACAAATCGGTTATTTCACGAAGATATCAGTTAGTAAAAAATCTTTCCAAGTAGATACAACATAATGATTCTACAGAGAGTATGTATTGACTTGAAAGTCATTTATCTATGCAAAGTAATAATTCCAAAGCTTCAAGTGTAGTACATGTTTCTAATGCATCAATCGGTCACTAGGGTGTGACCAGTTTTATCTACTTAGTCCTTATTTCTGACCGAATTCTACCAATCAAGTTAGCTACCTGGTCACCAAATTGAATGACTCACCATCTCCGTGCTCTTTCAAATGATCAAGTATTACATACAGGTTTAATGTTTAACTTCTTATTGTATGTATACTTCAAGCGACACATATCAGTGTCGACTGATTTATTCCCAACAACAAATGCTTAGCATTGACTCCAAATTCGAACGATATAATTTGAAGAGAATTATGTAAAGTATTGAAGTATGCGCAGCTTATTTCAACAAAGTATAACATCTAGTTGATGAAGTATAAATAACCCTAAGTTAACATACTGGATGAAGTATCATAGTTGAACACTGAATGTAAACGTAATTGTTTAAGTTGTCCTACTTTCCCAAAAAGGAAATAGAAAGAAAAGAAGAGAACACTATTAGAACAAAGAAACAAAAGTATTACAGGAGAGAAGGAGAGAGAGAGAGGAAATAATTTGGTGCAGATGAATGAAAATATTCCGGATGATGATAAGTAAGTACATCTTTGATGGTTTAACTCATTAAAAATGAATTTCACAATTTTATAATTCTAAGCAGCCGATTTCAGAGAGGGAGTTATTGTCTTGAATAAGTGTTAGTCCCATATTGGTTTAATTGAACGTTACCCAAAGATTCCCATCTTTGGTTTAGTCCTTTTATATTTGCTTTGCACAGCCCAAAAAAGAACAACTATTGATCAGATTGGCAGTTAGGTCAATGCAGAAATTCACATAGAAATTTTACAAATAATGATCTTAACAAAGATTGTTTTAATAAATAATAAAATCAAATGAAGTTTTGTAGTTACAAAATGCCAATATTAATAGTAATCACTTACAGAATTAAGTTTCCTCAAATAATCACATATTAATTTAGCTGATTGAATAGCTGTTTCATGTGGAAATACTGTAATGAGTGCAGATTTATTGAAGTGATTTTCAGTTATTAGATTATTCGATTGAATGAATGTACTAACTTGTGATTTATTGCCAATAGTTAATGGGACAACAGAATTATCCGATGAAAAAGACAACGGTATCGACATTAAAGGCTGTAAAAGTGCAATGGAATCATCATCTGCAAAAAACAATTTAAAGATAGAAAGATAGAATATAAACTATTAGGATAAAAAAAACATTCATACCTTAAATTGAATTGAATTCTTAACTCAGAACTTTACCCGAATGTAGAATAGTTTAAGCTGTTGCACTTCAATAGAAGCTCACATAAAGACTGAGAAAAGAGGCTCAGTGAAACTATAATAAACGAAAATGTGTAGAAGAAAGAATAATTACACACGAAGAATGAATCTGGAAGGTCGCAATAAGTGAATGCCCCTAGGCCATTCAAGGCTATTTTGAGCCACATCAACAACAGTCTCCAAGTATGGACTGGACTACACCGACTCCAAGATTAGAAATAGGGAGTGAAGTGGTAGAGCATGTTGACCGTTTCACTTATTTGGGAAGTACCATTAGCCAGTGCCAACGGGTTGATCTCTGACGAAATCTCAGAACGGATACAGGGGGCTAGTTTAGCATTTGCCAGTTTACGCCGTCTGTGGCGTAGACGAGATATCCGACTATTGACCAAAGGGCGGGTGTACTGCTCATCAGTCCGCTCCGTCCTCCTTTATGGCTGTCAGTGAGACCTGGCCATTGAGAGTGGAAGACATGAAAAGATTACCTGTCATTGATCATAGGTGCCTGCGTTCTATCTCCCGTATGAAGTGGTATAATAAGGTGAGCAATATTGAGGTTAAGCGTCGAGTTCTAGGTAGGTGGGAGGGGAAATCAATCGACGAAGTTGCGAAGTTACAAAGACTGAGATTGTTAAGACATGTGTTACGTATGCCTAGTCATCGCCTTCCTCGACGAGCAATGTTGGTGGATATAGGGTCAGGCTGGGAAAAAGCTAGCATGGCGCCAGTCAATGAAATATACAACAGTTAGTCTAAGCCACGTAGGAAAGTGTAGACTTCCTGACTGGTTGGGGTCCTCGGGACGGTAAAAATCAATGGTTGGAAACAATTGGTGACATGGCTCAAAGAGATCGTTCTCAATGGCTGGTGCAGATGCATCCACTCCTTGTGACTTATGATTTCCAATGAAACTGTTTTGTTCTTCGTTACTACTATTCCTTTGTCTGACATCTCTGTTTACTGTTTCTATTATGCATTTCTTCTACTTTCTTCTGTTGGTTTGTGTGGTACATGGAGGGAGTGTGTCGACTTGAACCGCTCACATATGTGCAAAGTTCTATGTCGAAAACAGACAGACATGGATTCTTAGCATCTCAAAGGCATATACCAGGCAGTTTACACCCCCTAAGTGGCTCTGATATTTATTATTACATTATTCTCATTTTCTCTTGTTTTTTTAAGATTTTTTTACGTATTAAAATGTAACAGTCTTCTGATGTCTTTTCCGACTGCTTGTTAAATGGATTCTGATTTTTAAGGGGATTTATACAACTACCTGATGGTGTTTTTTAAACTTAAGACAAACCATTCTGTGCTATTATTTATCCTATATGGTGTATAATAAAATTTATACTCGTACAGAATGACCAACAGAGACGTAAATCACCATCAAGTCACGACAGTGGTTGCCAAGAGATACAATTACATCATTCATGGAAAATTTAAATAAGTCCATTTTATATTAAAAACCTTCACTGAAGATGTTGCCTAGAAGGACAACAAAAGCTTCGCAATTAAATCAAACCGGTCAGAGAACACAATTTATTCAGTGTAACTACATATTGCTCTCTGCAAACTAAACTACGCCCATGGTGAAGTGTTTTATGTAGGGATGACAAAGAATAATTATATGATAAAAGAATTTTCTCATTAATTTTCTCCTAGTTTATTTTGTGGCTTACTAAAAAAGTATAATGCCTGAAGTTCTTGTGATAGGGAATGGCTTATAAGGTTACCAGAACTCAGTGAGAAGGTTGATATTTCCTTTTTAAAATATTGTCGGTGAAGAGATGTTGATTACTGGAGGAAATTATAGGAGGTGAATCATTTCATGGGAAAATTACAAAACCCATTATTAGCAAATTACACACTTCGGGACGAATATTCCTTTGAAAACGTAGAATATTTGTAGCACAAAATGTAATCTGCTTGACATCGGAAATGGCACCAATAAAGGCAGTATTATGTAAAGCATTATACACACTGTCTATTGATGTGAATAACTGGAAACTGTTCACATCAACTAGTCGTGTTTGCTAGCTAGCTAGCTTGATCTATCTTAAACTTCAGAAAGTCATTTAGAATATTAGGGACCAAGCTTATCGGCGGTGTGTCCAGACCGACAACACTTAATGGGTAGATTCATCCTAAGCCACTCAAAATCTGGACAGATACTTGATGGAACTAGTAATAAGTAGAGCTGAATTTGTTATTAAGAAATTATACTTAATCAAGTCCGTTACACTACCGAGGAGCTCGGCCTCAATCGAGCAAATTATGTTTAAGTAATTTTACTTTAGCTGTCAGACACTACAGGGTTGATCTCCATGGCCACCAATCACACACCATTCAGTAATGTCTTCGTTGACGCACACTGATACCATAGTGTGACCACCTAGTTGCCTTCAAATAAAAAGGTGTGACATAGTACAAATGCATAATACTCTACGATAAAAACATTTTTTAATACTTACTTTGTGAAACGAAATCAACTTGGTTGAGAAAATAGTGAGTTACTGTGATAGAAAGTAGATGAAATACAGTGTTCTTCCTCATCTATAAGTATCATTCACAAATATACCTATGTGATCTTAACGACTTCTGAAAGATTTATATACTGGATGACTGAATGTTTAATTAATTTCAACGTAGATTCAGTCATAAACCAACATTGTTAGAACATCACGGAAGACTACATAAAACTGAACACCTGTTTCTTTCTAGCTTTCAACCCTCCAATAGCGTGACAGTACACTTCACAAGGTGGAAGTATTTGGTTCAGTAGTAGGTGTGCACTGTAGGAAAGTTACAAACTAGGACGAAATAGATATTTGGTGCTCTTTTTTCTGTAGTTTTCCAACGGTGTTGGTTCCTGATAAAATCTCCCCTGGATTTTAAAAGGACGTGATAGGTAACAGCTGAGTTGAAGTTTCTTAGTTGCATTATTACACTATCTTCCTGAGTTTTCAGAGTGTAGGCTTAGAGATATTTTTATGTTATTTCTGATCGTGAGCATATGTAACCTTTTTATATGTACATAATTTTTCCAAATGATGCATACTACTGATGTTAAATCAGTAGACCAATTTTACCAACAAAAATATTGAGGAGGCAACACGTAGAGTTCAGTTAATTGTCTGTATTATTAATTTTGTGAAGCATCAATATATACCAGCCACATTCATTTTCGGAAGTGATCTTCGGTCAGATTTCATGAACATGAATTTCACGGTTGGTTTTATGTCTTATAACAACAAATGGAGAGACAATCTCATTTCTGGACATCCGACTTACAAGGAAGATTAATGGGACTCTGAAGAGATCAATATATCGAAAGCCTGCGTGGAACGGCCAGCTGACAAACCTTTACAGTTGGGTATCCATCGATCGCAAGTGGAACCTAAAAATCTCTTGTGACTACAGTCTGTAGCCCCGAATCAGTAGATAAAGAGATCACTTTTTTGAGAAAGTGAATACGCTTTAAATTATAATTATTCCCTTGCCTTCCGAGTGTAACAAGGGGCTTCAACAACACATCTGCACTTTGTTCTGCTTTCTGTCGTCCTATTCAGCTGGGTCCACGACTGCCCATAATCTCTCATTTTTCCCCACACGATCTTCTCCATGTCACCACTGGAACAACGCTTCCATTGGGATTCCACTCGAGCGATGGCCTGCATTCAGCGCAATGTCATTCGACGGCCTTCCCAACGTATGCCCGATGCATCTCCATTTTGTCCGACATATTTGTTGAGCAATCGGCTCTTGGTTGGTTTGTTGCCAGAGTTTCTTGCTACCAATTCTTTCTGGCCAACCATTTGACCTTCAGTATGGAGCCAGAGGAGTGGGCAGCTGTTGATAAAAATTTGCAACCTGTTGGAAATGCTTCTCGTGAAACGCTGGCCAATTTTCTAACCCGTATAAAAGAACTGACTGACTCCAAATTTGTGTTGAAAACCCCAATATTGTTCTTTATGCTGGCTGAATTAGTGCTGAAGATTCACAAACTGGTTTCAGGTTGAAGAAGGCGTATCTAGCCTTTCTGATCCTGACTGGCTTTGACATCTCCATCCCTGCTGTCCACCGTGATTGAAACCGTGCCTCCTAGATAAGAGGAGAAAGTAACCTGTGTCAAATCTCTTCGGTTGATGGTGACTGGTTGTTGTTGTTGTTGCTGTTGGTTGTTCATCTTCATCACCTCCGTCTTCTCTATGTTCACTTAGAGTCCTGTCTTCGCCATCTGCTTCTTCAGCTGGTATGTTGGTTTTCGCCTGCAAATGGTGGAGTTTTGTGACATTAAACATATTTCATCCACACACGAAATCTAGATCTTCTAGAGTCCTCTTATCGGTGGTCCAGCGTATTCCTATCTGCTTGCTCCCTACATATTAGAATGCTTAAACACTATAGATATTCTGTTCGTAAAAGTGAACAGTTATTTAGATTAACTCTAGTCCCAGCTTTTTCGCTGGTGATTTTGTTAATTTCACTAAAGTCTCATTGGTGGATTACATAACAGAAAACGAAATCTTATAAGATTTATGAAACAAACCCATCCTAAGTGACTTTAGAAACTTATCGACTGTTTCTGATGCATACTCACATTTGAGGAAATGATATATTTATCCGGCAAAGTTGAATGAAGAGACATCTCTTGAATAAGTTTAATCAATATGCATTATGTAAAAGGGCCGCCAATTTTGATGCAGTGAATATCCTTATGCCAAACATATTGCTACTAACTGGCCTTTCTGGGGAATAGTGGAAATTTAAATATTTCAGTGCGAATTTTAATTGTTATGAGTTGCCTTTTCACTAATTTTTATTTCACTATTTGTATCGCCTATCGAAAATTTAAGCCATACATCTTAGATCA